TGATAACAACTGCAAACTAATATAGACAAGATATCAGAGGAGCTCAAACCTCGTCAGATACATTTTCTCAAGATTGCTAAAGCCAATTGGCATTGATAAATGACACAATTGAGAGTCTGCAATGACAAATAGTAACAATATTTTTTAAAAGTCTAAAGTAAAACTCATTTTAAAGAGGTGGTTGACCGTTTTTTTTTTTTATTTAGGTTTTATTTACCTTTATTCTACACCGCTCTGTCCCTTCTCACATAAACACGCTGATCATTTCCTGTTTTTATGAAGCCCCGCCCTCAGAAATACGTGATGGGCTCTGATTGGTTAGCTAGCCCAGTATGTTGTGATTGGCTAAACCGCCTACTGCGTGTCTAAACGTCCCGCCCCTCACCTCAGCTGCATTGCTCCGGTTGTATTGTAAACAATGGCGTCGTTAATATCGCTTATCAGTTTGAGCCCGACTGAGAAGCAGAGGATATTATTGAAGAGGATCGTGCAGAACCTGTGCAAGCACGGCTCTTAATGGTATGTTTTTTGATTGTTGTTGTCTCATACTTTTAGATATGCTGTTATTTGCAAATGCTACTGCTTCTGTTAGCTTTTAATATACGGTTTTATTTAAAGCTGATTAAAGGTTTAATACAGTACAGCAACCGCACACGCGTCCATGTTTAGCGCTTCTCATAGCTATGTGAAAATAAGTGTATAATTGGAACAGTTAATTGTCGGAGCTGAGCTGAATGAGCGAGAGAGAGAGAGAGAAAGAGAGATGCAGAGCGTGTGCTGAGCAGGGGAAGCAAGGAACAGTATTAAGAACCGCTGCTTTAGAACATTGATTTTGAAACTTGTGAATCCATTAGAATCGTTAGAAGATAGAATCGCGATTCATATATGAATAGATTTTACGTGCACCCCTAGTTTTCTCTTCCTCTTCTCTAAAGCAGCGCAGCATGGCCTCGCCCCCTTCTTGCGTGTTCCCGGAGGCGGGGTTTATCAGGGTTTGTGATGTCACAAACCCGGGAAGTGACTCATTGTAGTCCCTACCAGCCGTTTTTGTAGGCATTAAACTGCCAGAATTTTAAAAGACGATATCTCCGTTTGCATTGAACTTTCAGCGCCGCACCTTTGCAGATATTGTTTGTTCAAACAGCAACATTACACACTAACTACCTTTTAAAAAAGTGAAATCACAATCAACCACCCCTTTAAAACATGTTTTTTTATATTTATGATGGTTTTGAAAACTTTTATACCATTCTCATGAAAAGTTTTCAATTTAATGACTCAAAATTTCATGTGGTGGAACCATCAAGTAAAACTTAATAACATGTTTTTCTTACACATTGAATTATTGTGAGTCTACATATTTTTAAAACAAATATCAAATAATTATCGATTCATAAATATCATGCGTTTTGGGGAGTTGTACCACATGATATTTGACAACCTCAACTAACCTGGCCATGTTATGAAATATTTCAGGACACCTTTTGACCTTGACACATTGGTTTTCTGGTTGGTTGCACCACATGACTTTTATTTGAGCAGACAAACGTTTCTCAAATATCAGTAAAGCAGTGAAGCATTTTTGTATTCTTTTTTTTAAAGTGAATAATCATAAAAGATTCTGCTAAACAATTATGGAAAAGTTTGGCATAATTAAGTTACATGAGTTACTATTACAATGAGGGTTTTTTTTCTTTTTCTTTATGATATCAAAACTCTGAATTATTTGACTATATTCCCTTAATAACAATTCAGAAATTAAAAACTTGCTTATAATAGTAGAGGTTTATTCAAGTCATTGTAATTGTGTATGCTTAAACTGCATTTGTTTCTGAATAGCACCATGTCATTGACCCATACAGTCAATGTAATGTGTGTCTAATCTTTCTGCAAATTCATGCCCTCCATCATCACAGTAAGCCACAAATGAGTCAACGGCCGAGGACTCATAGACGCCTGTACAATTTAGTTTGCTGGAAGAGCTGCGCTTAGTAGAATCCATCAATTGATCCAGCACATGTCCTTAATGTGAATTTATTTTGCAATAGCTTTTAAAGCCTTGTTCTGCTCTCGGTCCCCGAGGGGAATCTGTCACCGGTGTCTGCTTTGTAGTCTGCTTGGTGTTTTCCGCTCAAATCTTCAAAGTGACCTACATCTCAACCCCTTTGGACTATTTGTCTTCTTTGGGCTTCAAATTTGTAATTTGTTCAAATTTTAAGCCCAAAGAAGACAAAAGCATGCAGTCCAGTTCGGTTTGGTTTCCCTCGCCTAAGTTTTCGAGAGAGCGTGGGTTGTGGCGTGGCGTTCAAAAGATGAGCCTTTCATTGTCGATCTGCCAGATATCCTGCTTCAAAAAGACTTGTGTGTCAAATGAGAAGAAAGTGAACAGCCGATAACCCCTACAAAATAATAATAAGTGACAGGAAGTGGGTGTGCGCTCGAATGTGTGTGTTCATGTGGACAGACAGGAATTTGCCATGTGAACGCTTGAAGATTTAAAAGCTGCGGTGTATTCCCGCCGTGCAGTGGAGGACCTCAGCGGAGGCTTGTTTGGTGGAGAACAGTGCCTTTCCATGCCCACTTCAATCCCCTTAGTGACAGATCAAGATAACTCATTCCCAAAGCAGCGCGCCGCATGGCCACTGTCCTCTACTCAACATGAAATGCACTCATCAGCATTACGATTGGCTTCTGGCTTTTTACATTTTCCCTCTCCATGGCTTGACGCTTACTTTTTTCCCCAAAGAGCACATTACGGAACTTTAGAGGTGCAGTGAAAATGTATCAGATAATGTTGTTTTCCTTTATGAAGGGATGCAAGGAGATATTTAGAAGGATTTGATTGCTTAAAATGCAAAATAGGTTTTAAAATATTTCTGCTTCAAACAGTTTTTAATAATTACTGTATTATTAGGCCTATACACAGACCTTATGCGTCTGAGAAACAAGTGTGCAGCCATTTTTAGAATTTTTTTGGTAACACTTTATTTTAAGGTGTCCCTGTTACATGTTACGTACATGTACTTACTATTATAATAACAATTAATTATGCATAATTACATGCACGTAACACAGTAACAGTGCTTAAATGTATAATTACACTGTAGCAAGGACACCTTACAATAAAGTGTAACCAATTTTTTCTTTGAATTTCTGTTTGTTTGGTTTTCAGTAGCTCTATAGCATCACTACTGAAGAGTAATTAGCTGGTGAAGTGGATTTATTTCTTGTATAGTTAATGAAAGTTATCATGTGCATTGTAATGTTCGAAGCGGATGTCATAAATGTCAGACCGGGAAGATTTTAAAACGAGTGGTTCAGTCATAAATTGGTACAACCTTACCTTCACGCTGTGGAAATACGGAATACAGAAGACAACAAGCACAGTGCTGAAAAGGGGCGGAGCTACATTAGGTCTATAGGATACATTGCATAAAAATGAATAAATAAATATACATCAGCCGTGTTCAAGAGTTTTCTGTCACAGACTGTGTGACTTCGCTACTTCCTGTTTTTTTCTGCAACCAACCGACTAATTCAGATATGGTCGACTTTTTTCAACTAACATGTAGTCAGCTATTAGGGTGCAGCCCTAGTTTTTATTATTTCTTTCTTGTGACGGGCTACAAGAAACATAAGTTACAAAAGTTTACTTTCAAGTAAATGCATGAAACAGAATGGCAATAATAACCATTAAGAAAAAAAATATTTTTGTCCTATTTTCCATTTAAAATATCTAAGCATTCTTAAATCAAGATAAATTTACTTGACAAGCAAAATGGCTTGAGATATAAAGTCTTGTTTTCTAAATAATAAAAAAAAAAATTATTAGTTTTTGCATTAAACAAGAAAAAATATCTGCCAGTGGGGCAAGAAAACTAACCTCGTTTTCCCTTTGAATTAAGTTGATTTTTCTCACCCTATTGACATATTGAATTTTAATACAGGAATTATAAACAAGCCTGAAATACACACCGACTCCCCTAGTAAAAAATTAATATATTTATTTCATACCAAGTATAGTTCAAATCTATTAACATATTTACTGACAGATGACAGAAGACTTTCTGATATAAAAATTATGATCCCACTTTATATTAAGTGGCCTTAACTACTATGTAGCTTACTTATATTTAAATTAATAATTTGGTACAATGTACTTATTGTGTACATACATGTTTTTACATTGTACTTATATTTTAAAAATACCTGCATGTAATTAATTTCTTTAATTACATTTATAATTACACTGTTGACCCATCCCTGACACCTTAACCTACCCAGACCACCAAACCTGTCCCTAACCTTACCCGTAACCCACCTCAATAGCAGCAAAAGTGTTTTGCAATACAATATGAACACAATAAGTACACTGTACTTGTTTTTTGATGCAAGTACATATAGGACCAAAATTATAATTAGACTTTATTTGGCGTACTACTTGTGCACAATGCACATTTCTTAATAGTAAGTCTAAAATGTGTTTTAATGTCACTTTTGATGAGGATTGTATGATCTTTTAATAATATTGGTCTTTAAATGCAAAATATTTAAATATTTACCTCAAGTATACTTGCAATAGTTCCACTTTAGCACAATCAGATATACTATGTATAATATCTTTAATTGGACTTCAGCACTACTTCTGCACAATTAAAGTGCATTAAGTATAAAAATTACATAGTTGTTCCACTTTAGCAGACTTATACCAGTTTAGTATACTAAAAGTACAATTGCAGGGTATTTAATTAAGTACAATATGTAAATGTATTTGTAGTATACTTAGCATGAAATAAATGTATTTCAAATACATTTAAGTATATTTATATATAATGGAAAGTCTATACTATCACGGGATGCTCACTGCAAAACATGTTAGGGATAAAATATGCACTCTTACAACCATCTTCAACATGGTACAGTGCAAACACCATGAAGAGCACAGCAGCCGGAAGTGGTCGTGCAGTTTAACGTGATGTTCCTCTGCTGTCTCACCGCAGGTGCTCTGGCCATATTGATCCCGGAGCTTGACCTGGTCATCTCTCTGGTGGGCTCCGTGAGCAGCAGCGCTCTGGCCCTCATCATCCCTCCCCTGCTTCAGATCGTCACCTTCCATAATGAAGACATGAGGCTCTGGGTGATGGTCAAGGACATCGGCATCAGTCTCATTGGCTTTGTGGGCTTTGTGGCGGGGACGTACATCTCCATCCAGGAGATTGTGGCACGGAACAGCAGCAGACACAACGGCACACACCTGCAGCTGCTGTGAAACGCTGACGGAGCGACAGATTAAATGTAGGCCGTGCAGACCCACTGAATCATTTACTCACTACATGCTCCTTTGATTTCTGCTCAATTCCGCTTGGGATTCTTCTTTCTGAACGTCCGTAGATTCTTTGTGTTTTCGTCCTTCGGTTTTTGTAGCACTGAAGTCTCTTCATATCGAGTTCCCAAGTTACTTTGGCTTCAAAGAACTCATTTTTACTAAATCTTTCGGGTCAAACAGCCTTTTATCCCAATTTTAAGGTGAATATTAATGGAATAATATCTATATTGCTCATTTTAATGTCTTGTTTACAGTGTTTGAATGCCACAAACAGATTCCTTTCACATTCATTTAGAATTAACAGGTTCACATGTGTTGTTTACTCATTCTGAGTAGTTGCAATTGGAAAGAAGTGACATGAACTGTAATTTCTGTTTGTAACTGTGTTTTTATTTTATTAGGACTCTTGTTTTCAAGACAAAAGGCGAGTTATTTGCTTCTGCATATTACACACAGACTCAACCTAGACTTGATTGTAAATATGTGGAAATCCAGTCAAAGTACACACGTTTGCACAATTACACAATACCCAGTACCTCTCCCTCTCAACCAATCTGCACTGTGTCTGCTGTTCTAGTTTTTTTCATTGATTTATATTTTTAAGTAATGTTTTATTGGTTTATTTTATTTGTGCCGTCTCACACATCAAACAGTCTTTTATATTCAACAGGTGCCGTCAGTGAGTCATCTTGTAGAGATGATATAACTATTGATATAACTTGATTTTTTTTTTTTTTCATCTACCAGCTGTAGTTTTTTGTCAGTATCTACATATGGCCAGATTTCATTCCAGATGTGCAGTATATAATTGTTTTAAAACAGGCTCCAGATCTCATGATGTTTAGCACACAAAACACTTCAAGTTCAGGCAAACCAACAGAAGTGTGTTTTAACTGTATGCATGTTGAGTAACTTGTAACTGTTGTGTTAAACACACTTGTAAACAGTTGTACTGTTGTGTTAAACACACTTTTTACTGAGGTACTTTAATTTTTTTTTTTTTAGTTGTATGAAATTGCTATATAAAAAAAAATATATATATATATATTGTTGGCAGTGCCAAAGTTATTGACTGGAGGTTTTTTTAATATATAATTTACGGTAATTTTTTTGTAATTGCAGTGTTACTTGTTTTGATTTTGTGATTTCATGGATTTTTGCCTTATTGTACATATGCTGTAGGTCATTTATTCATGCTCGCCTTGTTGAAAATGAACATACCTTTAATACTTTAAAACAGATTAAATATGAGAAGCATATTACTAGTCCATTTATTGGTTGATCATCAACATGAGAGTTTCAAGGTCCACCTGTTGAGTTGCGTCATTGTGTCTTTCTAGTTCATGTAAAACAGCAGGCCTTGAGAGCTGCTATGTGCTCTGTGTTTGAATTAAAGAACCGATGTCTTGATGTTACTGCCTCTTCCTCAGGTGTCATTTTTCTCACTGTGTCTTTTTGTTGCAAGACGGTGTTTTCCAACCAACAGTATGCATGCTGCAATGGTACTTGGAAAGATTTAGCTTGGTTAAAAGTGGCTCTAGTCGCATTAGTTTTAGACATTTTTGAGAGGGCAACACTTTGTAAAGGTAGTGCTTGGTTTGCCTGTTTATAAAGACAGAAAGGAAAGTCAAACCAGGTTTGTATCTGTGAAAAGCTCAGATGAATTGAACACATGCAGTCATTCCTCTGGTTCTCATTGGTGGCTGATTAGGTAGAGGTGCTTGTCTGTGACATACATCATGATCAGATTCGTTAAAAAATGCCTTTAATTAGATTATATTTCATTTTAAAATAATCGTAATCAGACTACAGTTACTATTTTATTGATTACATAGTAACACAATAGCAAAGAGTTATTCATAATTTATTGATTTTTCAAATTTAAATTTACATTTCAAAAATAGTCTACAGCTTATATGCATTCAGAAAGTCTTCCAGTTTTGTGGACATTGCTGACTAGTGACTGATCTTTGTGTCAGTGTTGGGAAAAGGTTACTTTGGAAATGTAGGTTACAGATTACATGTTACCCTATTTAGCATGTAATAAGTAGTGTAACTTTCAATTACCGTATTGACCCGAATATAAGACGATGTTTTTTTCTTGGAAATACATCTGAAAAAACGCGGTCGTCTTATATTCAGGCCCTAGACTTTGACATGTCAATAATACACCCACAATAGGTGGCTCCAAATACGCATAAAACGAGTGTGCCATGAAATACGTAATGTAATGCGTGTTGTAAAGATCGCGAGTAAAAATAAAAGAAAAAGAAAAGCTTACAGCTGCATGAGTCGTGACTGTCACGTTAGCCTGATGGGACCAGACGCTCTTTGTGATTTTAAAATGTAAGACAGTACCCAGATTTGAAGACTACAGTAAGATTTAACTTCTACTGTTAATAAGATTTTGGTAGGCTACTATTAGATGGATAGCCTAAATGTCCTAATTCAGATGGGCTACCTGTTTTTTTTGTTTGTTTTTTTAATGGTATATCAAAAAGTGTGTATTTTTTAAATGTGATTGTTGATACATTTTACCAGTTTTTACCATACTTTCAAAACAAAAATTAAAATAGGAAAAATATGCAATATGAAAATATTTGAAGACAAAATGTGTTTTACTGAGAAAAAACAAGATTTGGTTTTTAAAAAGCCTTTTTCCAAAAGGTACATCTGGAAAAAGGGGGGTCGTCTTATAATCAGGGTCGTCTTATATTCGGCCAATACGGTACTTTGTTAATGTAACTGATTACATTTGGTTACTCAACTCTTGAGATTGAATACAGATTTAAAATCATAACAAGAAATAGTAAATATTCATACAAGAAGTATTCAGATGTAACCCCCTTCGTAATCATTAACATTTTCATAACTGTAATTTAATTACATTTTTCTCAGTAATTGTAAAAGACTACAGTTACGTTTATTTTGTAATTAAATTATGTAACGCTGTTACATGTAACTAGTTACTCACCAACACTGCTGGTCAGGTTGATCTACAAAACACAGAAAGGCTACACAACAGTTGACCGTTAATTTCATGTTTTTATGATTTGGTTAATTATTTACTTTTTTATTAAATTCACAAACCCCAGTCTGGGAAACCTCGATATAATGTAATGTCTAATGCACTTCATGTTGTTAACAACAACGAATTAAATATATGTTCTTTCTCTTTGTATTTATATATCAATATGGTACACATTTATCCTATTTAAATCAGCATGGTAAACGAGTTTAAAAAGTAATCTAAAAGTAATCCAAAAGTAGTCTGATTATATTACTTAAAATGTGAAATGTAATGGATTACGTTACAAACGACAGTTTTTGTCATGTAATTTGGAATCCGTAACGGATTATAATTTGCCAGTTATCTATCTAGCACTGCCAACAGAATATAACTTATTGTGAGGGAAAATTCGTTGAGAAATTTCATCACTGAATATCAGCATAGCTGTGGTAACCTGTCTTTGCTTTCTGCAGACTTTTATAGACAATTTGTGTGAATTATAGATTTGATTATTTATGCATTTCACTTTTATTACCTTTCCTCTAATATGACGTCTGCTTAAATGAATGAGCTGAGAATATTGATTTGTAATCTACAACACTCTCATTGAAGTTGCATCATGGCAAAGCCTTTGATTGGTTGGCGTGGTAAAAGCCGACATCTGCAATACTGTGTCAGAGATTGCAGTAAGAGTGTTTTGTACTTAGACAGATCAGAGGGAAATTGCTATGGTCGACTGTTATTATTTATAAGGAAAAAATACAGTGTGGGCTAAAGTCAAGTTTTGGCCATGGTCTATTATGTAGTTTGGGGCCTCAAATATCTTCAGCTGCTCATTTTTTACAAAACAACAACAAAAGAACTCCCAGTGTCCAGCGGTTTGCCAGATGTAATGAAGGTCAAGTAATATGTGACTTGCATCAAGATAGAAATACAGAAATCTTCCCGGTTCAGTACAGGTTAAGCTCAACGGACAGCATCTGTGGCATGCTGTCAATTACATGATCACCTCCATGCCACGCCGAATTGAGGCAGTAATTAAAGCAAAAGGAGCCCCTACCAAGTATTGAGTACATGTACAGTAAATGAACATACTTTCCAGAAGGCCAACAATTCACTAAAATGTTTTTTTATTGGTCTTATGAAGTATTCTAATTTGTTGAGATAGTGAATTGGTGGGTTTTTGTTAAATGTGAGCCAAAATCATCACAGTTAAAAGAACCAAAGACTTAAACTTCAGTCTGTGTGCATTGAATTTATTTAATACACGAGTTTCACAATTTTAGTTGAATTACTGAAATAAATGAACTTTTCCACGACATTCTAATTTATTGAGATGCACCTGTACAGTAACTTTGGAAGCTTATGGGAAAAGGCATTCCTCTGAGTTTAAAAGTCGAAATTGGGACTCATATTTTTGACAAAGTGTTGATATTCTTCCATACAATAGTGAGTGTTATTTGAGGTGTCACATTATCAACTGATTTAGCTTCCAAACCCAGCTTTTACACTGAACATCAAGTAGAGACCCAACACAGAAATGATTTATTGTGTAATTTCATGGTTTCATGCTCTCGGCAGGCAGAAATTCACCACACAGAACATATTGTGGTGGGCACAAACCATATTTATACTCGCAGCAAGTGAAGCTGGATTTAATATATTAGTCTGGGTTGTGTTTTCTTTTACCTGGTGTAGTTTGTGTTCATGGATGACAGGATGATACGACCTGGTCACGCTGGCTTCTGTGTAATTTGGCTGGCATCTACCAAGAGACAGATGAATTTTGTGAGTTTTGACTCAGCTTTTGACAAAATGTGAAGTGTCATGCCTCATCATAAGAAAGTTGCAGGGCCTACCACAGGGTTCCTCAAATCTTGCCCTGGAGGGCCAATGCGCTGCAGAGTTTAGCTCCAACCCTGATCAAACTCACCTACCTGTGATTTTCTAATGATCCTGAAGACATTTGCTCAGGTGTGTTTGATTAGGGTTAGAGCTAAACTCTGCAGGAAAGTGGATCTCGTGGGCCAGATTTGAGGATCCCTGGTCTACCAGCTAAAGATGACGTTAATAAGTAACAAATAAAATAAGTTTCTTCTATGTTTTCACTATGCCTTAATCCCTCCTGTTCTAGCTTGAAGGATTTCTGAAACTTTGTATTTCCAGCACTTCTCATGTCTATTGAGTCCTCGAGATGAATCAATCGCTTGATGTATTCCTAACATGTATGTTGCTTTGGATAAAAGTGTCTGCTAAATGAATACATGTAAATGTTACAAAAGAATATTGTACAGGGACCATATTGATTGATTTTTTTTTTAATAAGTGTACAAAACATTTGGCTTAGAACAAGACAACCATTGCAATAATGTCAGTAATATGAAAGGTGACATATCATGAAAATCTAACTTTTCCAGGTTTTAAGTGCTATAATCAGTCCGCGGTGCATCTACCAACCAAGGAAACGTGAAAAAGATTAACCCAGTAACTTTGTTTTTGGAAGCCTTTTTCTGCAAGCGTCTGAGAAAACGAACACGTCAGATTTAGCTCCCTTGGTGACGTGGCAAAGGGATCTCATTATAATATTACCGCCCCTTAATCTGTAAGTTTCCACCCACGGCGCCGTCATTGTGTTTTCGCAAGCGACAACGGTGTACCAGCTCTAATGCCATGGCGAAAGTTTGAGCAAAACATGTTAACTGTTCTGTCTTTGGCTGCACAGACGAGCACAGAACACTATTTACAGTCCCAGCCTCAGAGGAGACAACAGAGCAGTGGATTTATTGATTTATTTACTGTATATTGCTGCTACCACACAGATCTAAAAAATCTGTGATTTATTTCCCAGCAGTTTACCTTCACAGACATAACCCACTGTTTTTGTTACTCGTGTGTTTTTAACGTAAACTTGTGTGTGAATGAGAACTTAGTTTAGTACTCACATGCTGTGACAGCCGCTTTCTGTACGTGTGCTTCGGATGTGTGCGCTCAGAAAACCGTATATCAGAAGTTTAAACTCATATGGTTTAAAACTCATGATTTCAGCGCGATAAACAGAACCAAAACAGATGTTTTTAGCAGGTAATGCTAAATGGCGGACCTTTAAATCACGGGAGCTGTAATGGCGCAGCCCTATTCTGGAAAAGGGGGTGGGGAGCAGCAGCTCATTTGCATTTAAAGACACTGGCCCGAAAAACAGTGTGTTTCTGCTTCCACTCAAAATAGGCATTTCAAAATGATATAATAAATGCTCTGTAGAGTATTTTGAGCTGAAACTTCACAGACACATTCTGGGGACACCAGAGACTTAAATTGCATATTGCAAAAAGTGGTATAATATGTCTCCTTTAATAATCAATCCTCAATTGAAGACGCCGGTGATACAAAAGAGACATAAAAGTAGTGCTGGTTTCACTTACCCGGATGAGTGCGTTAATATGCAGCACAGTATATTAGTTGAGCTTGAATATTTGAAAATATCTGACTGCTGAATGACACCATTGACAAATCAGGTTTTCGAGAGTACCCTCTAATAAGCGATTATATCCTATCAAACTTGTGTTATTACATATCGTGATGAGAGAAACGAGACTTTTAGAAACTTTGAATCAACTGAACCAATTGCTTCACAAAATTGTTTACTTTTTCGAAGTGCTCAACACACTGGTGATGGTCAGAACAGTAGAAATGCAATCTCAAGCTCATAAATGCATAAAAACACCTTTTACAAACTAAAATTGAATTACACACGAATAATATGAAGTGTCTGTATAATATGTTATTTTATTAATTTGTAAAATAATGCAATAACATTAACTTTGTTAATCAGACCAATAAACTCTCTTTGTTAAGCAAATCTCTCACTAAAAATATCTACTAATTTAATCAGAGATAATGTAACAACTGGTTCCTTCACAGAGATCACCAAAATAGTTATGGCATTTCAGAAATAGTCGTTTCAAAATAGTTATGGCATAATGAAGCCTCATTTACCGAGATCACGTGACTTTGGTCGTTTTGATGCGTGCGCTGAATGACTGGTTTAAAAAACGACTTGCATATTTTGAAAGTCCCCATCACATAATATCATATGATATTAGTGATGGGGCTTTCAAAATTGCTTCGTCAAGCTTTGCAAATTGCATGTGTAAGTATTTTAAAGTTTAATATTCCAGTGAAATGCCCTGCCCCATAAATTTCCACTGTAAGTACATCACTGTGAATGTGATCTATGTACAATGATTTTCTGTAGTAATGGTGTTGTCGATAGAGCTTAACTTGCATTGAACCTGGAACAATCAAGCATGTCTAACCAAATTAATTACACTGTTGACCCATCTCTTACACCTTAACCTACCCATACAACCAAACCTGTTCCTAACCTTACCCGTATCCCACCTCAATAGCAGCATAGGTTTTTTTCAATACAATATTAACACAATAAGTACATTGTACTTATTTTTTTATTTAAAGGTCCCCTGAAATGTCATTTTAACTGAAACAGGAAGACAGGGCGGGACATATCAAGCAGCCCCGCCCCTTTTTAAAATAGCCAATAGCGTTCGTTTACATCACCGCTTGAGCTAGAGCCGTTCAGAGCCGTTGAGCTCCGTAAAGCCGCATTTGACAGGGTATGCCAAGCACAATCTCATCCATATTGCTATAAAATATAGCATTCTGTGTAGAATTCAAATAGCTCCATACATATTGTGGTCTGCACCGACTCGTGCATGTGATCTGCTCCGTGCTATCGTGTCTCTGGACCGGAGCAGAGTGTGTGTTTTTTTTCCTCAATGGAAAGCATATTTACACTGTTTGAATCGTTCCCTGTCCCCTATATAGTCCACTACGTGCCATTCACTGTAAAGAAAATACTAATTCTGTGGACAAGTGACCGATTTCAGCCGCGGCTTCAGCGTCTATTTTATAGTGCAGGGGGCAGGGCTTCAGATTCTAGAGAGCATTTGGTTGGACAGAAAGTTTGATGAGAAGCTGAAGTACGATGTGACGTCAAAAAAATCGTTGAGCCGTTTTGGCGGAAGTGACGAACTGCAAGCTTTGAATGCTTATATCTTCTAAATGCGAATTTTGTCACTGTTTTGGAGGACACTGCCTTATAGATAACCTATTGATACTAACACCTAAAAAACTTAAATTTTGATTTCATGGGGCCTTTAGGTAGTAGTTAAGGCCACCTAATATAGATTTGTGTGAGTCTCAGCATCTGCGTGACGTTCCCCTGTTTTCATCTCAAACCCTGAGGCATAAATCCACCTAGCTATTTGTCCTCACTGACCCACAAAGCTCCCTGTCAGAGATCTATACTTCTTCTTCAGCTGAACCTGCTCTGAATGGATAATGATAACTGGCAGCACACCATGAAGAGAAGTGCCCCGGGCAATTGTGTGTTTCTAGACTTGTATTTATTGTTTGTAAAACACTTGAGGCACTGAAAACAGCATGCGTCTTGTCAAACGTGCACTTGTGGTGTTCATCTAATGAAACAACCACATGTCAGAAAAAAATTTCTTTATAATTATGTGTAAAACACCCCTTCGTTTTCCTACAGAGGAGTGAATATTTCGACACGTTGCACAGTGATTAAAGTTTATTAAGACATCTTACTATTAAACATGAATGCAGCACTCAGGTGTGCATTCATAGGAATGTTTACATATTAAAAAATATGATTGTTTAATAAATATTTGATCAGAAAATGTGCAGTGGAGATTTCAAATAACACAGTATTACTATATTTTTGATTTCCACCTTTACACACAAAAACAAATATTTGTAGGATGCATGGAAGTGCTTTCCATTCATATTTCTGTGCATTTTTTGCTACATTCTAGTTCATAAATCTAATGGATTGATAAACTGCTCTAACTTTCAACTTATGGTCCATTTTCTTTGTTTTAACCAGAAAACAAGCTATAATATTAATATCAGTACATTTGTGTAAAATAATTTAGAGTAAATCATACATTCTTTTTTGCAGTTGAGGTATCAGATAATAGAGTAAATTCATTTAGCTCAACAAAAATATGCTCATATATGTAATCTATCAAAATCTCCTATTTTACATCCTCATTCATATATGCTAACTTTAATTCATTCATAGCATAGATATATTTTTCTTATTTAATAATAAATCCCAAGTCTCTCCAAATATGTGACTTCTGTCACCTTAATAACATGTAATTGATTGAGTTAATTAAATTGAGATAAAATGATATGTAGCTTTAAGTATAATCATTATCTTAATTATAATCTGAAAATCCTCTCATTGGTTCGATATGCTCCATTAGTACTTCAAACATTTACTAATTGTTTTCGTAGTTGTTTCTCCCAAATATTTAACAAAAATGAGACACCATGATCAGTACAATAATGCTAAATATAAAAAATAAAAGAAAATCACATGACATGTTTAAAAGCAATAGCATTTCATTTTTTTATATATTTAAACACCACATTTTTAGACATTTGAATATCAACAACAAAATCAAGTACATTGATTTTAATTAAAAAAAAATAGTATTTCAAATAGACATTATTAAGGGTTTTTATTAGTGTTGGGATCTTCCACATTTAGATGCCAGTTAAATTTCTAAATAAGAACATATTGTGTAGACGATAATGTAAACAAGGAACTCAAGTTCAAACTTATGTCATTTTGTGCAAATTTTAGGATGTAAATACAGGGACTCAAAATATGTCCATATTTGGTATGACAAAATGCAAACAATGAAAACATTCGAATCACAAAAAAGATGCATCATTACGCTGCACTCATAAGTCAATCGCTTTGAATAACTTACGAATTTTAAGAAAGACACAGTGCTCGTCTCAACAATTAAACTTGAAAATAGCAAGTATAATCCTTTTATACTCTTTTCGAAAGTTGTGGTTTAGCACTCCATATATAACGCCATTGAGGCAGCTGTTGAAGTACGCCATGAAGTAGCTGGCTGTGAAGAGCCACTCGGGTATGGCTTGACCCAGTCTGGGGTGGATCGCCACCGCCAGGCCTATGAAGTTCAGCGGAGCCCAGCAGACGGCGAACAACACAAACACCACGAACATGGTGAGAAAGTTCCGGAAGTCATGAGGCTTGATCTTGGGCCGACTGTCGGGCTTGACCCGTTTGCGCACCTGTATGACGAGGATCCAGATGCGCAGGTAGCAGTACGTGACTATGCCGATGGGCAGAATGAAGTGCACCACCACCACCATGATGGTGTAGAGCGAGCTCACCGATTGGGCGAAGGTGCACGAGTAGATGCGTGGGTCGTACTGCAGAGACTCCACAAACCAATTTGGAACGATCGCCAGGATAGTCAGCGCCCAGACCAGGACCACGTAGCATACTGTGTTCTTGTTGGAGAAGAGCTTGTCGTACTTAAGGCTGTGGCAGATGTAACAGTAGCGGTTGATGGCGATGCCTGTGATGTTGAAAATAGAGCCAATTACACTGAGCCCCATGAGGAAGCCGCTGATCTGACAGTGAATATCACCGGCGATCCAGCGGTCATGGAAGATGGCGGTCAGGACGAGCGGGTAGGGGTAGATGGCCACGACCAGATCTGCTACTGCCAAACTCACCACAAAGGCATTACCTGTAAGGACAAGAGGGTAAAAGATCACTGAAAGCACTGAGTTAAGATGTGTTGCTTGTCCAGGTTGTCTAGCTATATCCAGTTGCTTTGTCGTGGATTGTTATTCTTTACTTTAACATAAATTCCAACAGCAGCAAGATATCTGTGTGATAAACCCAAAGCAAACAGGGGTGCTTAATATGAGCTGTAAATATCGATATCAAACTCTGAGTAGACAAATCCAGGAGGTTCAAAGCAGTGACCTACACGGTGTAATTGGATCCTGTAATGTTTGAGAAATGTCTTCGTACTCCACTCTCACGTAACTCATGTAGCTCAAGATCGCACACATAATAAGACCAATGCCTGGCCTTTCTTCTTTAATAAAAGGATTTGCTAGTTCTGTTTAACTACATCAGTGAGATCATAAAATCGAATAAAACAATGAAATCAGGTCCGTGCCTGTGGAGCGCTTTGAACACGAGACTTGTACATTTACTGCATGTGTGGTGTCTCTAAAGTGGGCTGACTTTCATAATAAAACTCAGATTTACGCCAACACACTAATGAAATTGTTTTATCTATTTAAACTTCACTTTTCAACTCTCCAGGTACCAGATGCTCCATTAAACAAGCGCTGTATTGACTTCAATGAATTGAATTCTTTGAATTACTGAGCACACGCTTCACATCCAGCTGTGTTAATCCATCACATGTCGGCCAGGCTTGTACTACGTGAACAACACATTTATTGCAAATGATTTTAACCGTCCTCTAGCAGAAGAATTAGAAGTGTGGGATGCTGGACCCATCACAATTTGGACCCAGAGTTTGTTTAATTAAAACAAACTCTGGTGTGATTGCTTTGTTAGTGTGATTCATTTGAGTAAGTGTGAACGCTGCCATCTGAACCTGTGCTCAAAAGCAGACCAAGACACCTTAAAATGGTGGGCCTTTTGAAATATGAATGCAACATGGACCAAAGACATCTAGAAGAATAAGAAACAAGCCATCTCATATGTAAGCAGATGCATATGTGAAATAATGCAATCATTAAACACAACCCAATCTCACGGCAATTCGTTCATTTTTGACTAATTTGTACTAATTCGTACAACCTTACTCATACGAATGTGAAAAATCATATGTATTTTACAATGTAGCAAATTTATAGGAATTCGTACAAAGGACCACACATAACCCCGCCCCTAAACTTAACCATCACAGAAATCATACAAAATTGTGTGAGTGAGGTCGTGTTATCAAACATTAAACAGCAAAACTGCCAAATGTTAGCGAATGAAATGTTGAGCCAGGAAGAGGTTTAGGACTGTGAAGTTTTGGGGGCTTCGGTGGACTCGATCGACTTCATCTATGTTTTGATCATCGTTCTGAATCTGATCTGGATGTCGTTTTTTTGACAAAAGCATGATTTTCTCAGCTTTTTGTTCAAAATGTTTTTCATGAAATAAACCCACATTCAAGTGTTGATAAAAAAATGAATGCATATACTAATAGGATTTTTTTAAGCAGAGGCTCTGTTCTTTCTTTGACACATTGCATGTTCAGATATTCATGCAACAAAATATTATGGGGGCCATGAACATTTTGTAAAGATGATTAAAAATGCTGGTTGTGGCTGGCAACTTTTTTTTAAAACACTGGTGGGAAAAAAGAGTTAAAAACAGTAACGTTTCTAGGCGTAGGCAAGCTGTGAGCGCACATACTGGCACTACATTTTAGCAGGGTTGTGATCAAGAGTGGCACGGCCGACCTGAAATATAATTGCCGCCCCCACTGGATCCCCCACCATCACTGGGCTAGAGTACTGTCAATCTGACGATGCCTGTATGCCATTGGATCAGAGCGCTGTCAATTGCTGCCTCTGATTGTTGCATGCAAAGTTTGCATTTGGAGTGCTCAACAATAGCCCAAAGTCTGCAGAATTGGGCTACTTTTATACTGTTGCCACAGGTTGTTTTTTTTCAGTCCGGGGGTTAAAAAGAAATCCCCCGATCTCCCAGAACGCAATTTCGACTGAGGACGACCCCCGGGACATGACTTTGGAGCAATTTTGATAACCAATTTCCCCCAGAATGCGATATCTGCCTTATCTTCTTCTTGTCAACTCAATCAATCACCAACAAATCAATGAATGAATGCAGTATTTGTTACTTTATTTGTCACCACTGTGTTTCATGTGCGAGGCAGTATCAGCTCAGGGACTCGATGAAAATTGTCTGTTTGGGTGAAGCAATGAACATGTTAGTGGTGCTTCTCTTCACAGTCATCACGGTGCAGAAATTAGGGGCAGCTTTCTCTGATTGACTATTCAGACCCAGTCATGTGGAGAAGGGTTACAAATGTGACAAATGATAAGAAGACGCGATGAAGAACTGTTTAGCAGGCTTATTGTTTTTCTCTGTTGCACAGGTAGCACTGCACAGTTAATTCACAGATCACCTGGTCTCGCTCGACAGATATCTGTGATGACAGGACACATGTAAATTCATGCCTACAGGCTGTCATTTTGAAACAAGCTCACAGCGCTGTTCTGGGAGTTCAGATAGGTGATCAAAGCAGTAGACTCTTTCACTGATGGACGTGTGTGAATTTTGATGAACTGGATTGTTCTTCATGTGAATTCTGGTGTCATGGAGGTACTCTCTGTGACCTGTCAGCACCAGCGTCACAAGAATAGAGGTCAACAATACTGATGAATGTATGTGCTATAAATTAATTTGCTGGCTATTGATGAATGTGATGGAAATGGGATTCAAATTTAATTTGGCACTTGTGCATCACCCAGTCCGAAGTGTCAGGACATGTGATGGAATAAATCATCACATTTAAAATCACTTTGATCCAGATCCTCTGTCTGTAATGGATCTGCCCTCACTGAGCATCAAGTGACGAGATAAGTAGAGCTTCAGCTATGAAAACACATTTAAAGTCCAACTTACAGTGCCTTATAGACTTTTTGACTTTTATAGCCAAATTTAAAACAAGGTCAATTTAGAAGCAACATTGCATAAGGTATTAAGACTTGTTTTCAGAAAATATATCTTAAATTAAGTTGTTTTTAGCTTAAATCAAACAACATTTAGTATGTAGTTTGTAAGTTTGTGCTTATAAGAAAGAAAAAAACTTGCCAGTGAAGCAAGAAAAATTTATTTTATTCAGACTTTTTTTCGCTGAATCGCACAAATCTTTTTCCTATCACAAAAATAAATAAATAAATAAATAGGGACTTGTCTCACAATTCAGACTTTGTTTCTCATAAAAAAAAGAATTGTGAGATATAAACACAGAATTCTGACTTTTTTCTTGCAATTCTGAGAATTTTGCACAATTCTTTTTTCTTTGAGACTTCATTCAGACTTCTATTCTCAGACTTGCACGTTTATATTTCGCAATTTTAAGTCTATATCTTGCAGTTCTTATTTTTCATTTATAACTTGAAATTTCATACATTTGTCTGAGAATTGTGAGATATAAACTCAGAATTGTAAATAATAAATCAATAACTGTGCAGAATTATGAGATAAAAAGTAGCTATTACCTTTTTCTTTCTTTTTTTTCCGTGGCAGGAAACAGCTTTCCTTAATTATCTTCTCCAATTCTGCCTCTTAAGTACATTTATTTTGTTTTAAGGATGTTTGAATATTTTTACTGAAAAACATGATGAAAATACTACTGAATAAATAAAATCACACCAAAGACAGAACACCAAATGATGTGTAAATACTGTGCTGGTGTCTCTAAAGCAACCACACACATCACATGGCAGCAAAACACTGGAGCTCTAATTACTGGAGGTGTGTCAGGAGTCCATGAACCCGTCTCACTGCCAGCACTGAGTGAGCTCCAGCATTAAAATGGCCTGAATGCCTTCCTTTTAAGAGGAAACAACCATTCGTTTAGTATTGTTCTGTATAAGGGAGTATAATCAACAGAATTAAACATCACACACGAGGATATTTCTGTCTGGAACTGTTTAGTATCCAAAAGACTGCACATCTGCATTAGCCAGATGATTATATAGGATCTGTATGTGTCTGGTTTGCAGCATATGCAAGCTGTCTCAGTTTCAAGCTCTGTTTGAAACTTTATTTCTCATGCAGAGAAGATCTGAGGCTGAGCTCATTAAGAGACGTGTACTGTATCTCATTTGTCTTTACATTCTCTCAGTGCTTGTATCTTTTAAAGGTCAATTATTAGTTGGTCAGACAAAATAACTGCACCCTAGAACCACTTAAAGCTTAAATCTCCAAAAGGAAAAGGTCAGGCTGTGTGCTGTGTGTGTTCATGAGATGAGACCAGTGGCCGGAGGTCAGATTGAGATGTTGCATCTCAGACTAAAACTGACAATGTTAACAGGGCAGCATGCAGAGGCATTCATACAGCAGCTGCACACCACCATGCTTTGTCTTTTCAGTACGACACCTGATGGTCTGGAAATCGTTGATGAGTCAATTACTGTGTCTGAATCTTAAATAAGACAGACAGCTAATCAGATATTTGTACTTTAATATCAAGGCTGTAAATGAATACTAGCTACTGTTTGGTCTAAAGAATGGCATCAAACACCACAGTCTGTTAAAAAAAAAACGTTCACATGTAAAGTAAGTTTTTAAGGTGTTGTTCACAGTCATGTATTGATAATTAAGGTGTGTTTTTTTTTTTTGCTTAACAGCAAGACAGTCCAAAACAAAGATGAAAATTGTGATAATTTAAATTGTTGTTGTTGTTGTTATTATTATTAATGATTAATGACGATGATGATGAAAACTATTATTAATGTGTAGTATTTTTGCGATTATCGTTATTATATGAATTATAATGAAAAAGATTTTAAATATTAAAAATGACCTAAATGAGAATTATTATTATTGTTATCAATAATAATAATAAATTGTAAAAAGAAAAATATGAAAAATACTAATAACTGCAGAACAATTAGTAGTAGTAGTACAATTGTTATCATTATTAATAGTAGTAGTAATAATAATAATAATTATTATTATTATAAAAGAAGATTAATAATTAAACCAGTCTATTAACTGATTTGCTGGTCTTACTGGTCAGGCTGGTCTGTTTTCTGGTTTTAGACGCTTTTAGTTGCTCAGGTTTAAAGACCATGCAGACCAGGTGATAATAATACATATTCATAATGCATATTATTTTACTCTGTCAAAGAGCAGAAACAAAAACATTTCAAATCTGTTCTGAATCAGTCAGTGATATCAATAACGAGTTACTTCAGAAAACCTCGCCAGTAAAATATACAAATAAATGACTGTCAGCGTGATGAATTATAGAGATGAAGACATTTACCTGCCTTCCTGAGCTTTCTGTTTCTGAAGACCGATACAATGACCAACAGGTTGCCCAGAACATCTACTATAATCGTAGTGATGAGAACACTGGAGAGTAAAGTCACCACCCAGGGGAAAGAGAGGTACTTGCTGTCCCGGTTTCCTGTCGAAATGTTCCTCAAAGGGGCGTCTGTTCCCTCCACCATCCTCAATGCATCATCACAGGACAGCGGCGAGGGCTCCGGTCCTCCGCGCATCCAGACACCGCGCTTCAGCCGTGCGCTCTTACAGCTGCCGTAGAGGCATGTCGCTATGATAACAGGCAAAGCAGTTATTAAATCGTGAATTGATGAAAACTGGCTCCGCTTCAAATAGAATAGCTGCGATTCAAACTCGTTTTAGACATAAAATCCTGCAGGACAAGCGGAGAGACATTTGTAATCCAGCGTCTCTGTGGATCGTGAGAACTTGAAGAACAAGCAGCGCGCTGTGCTTGTCAAGACGCCCATTCATAAATCTGATACATAAAGTATAAAACTGGTGTTCGTTCATTCACTTCTTAAACGTGTAGCCCTCATTCACAATGTTGACTCCAAAAAGCTGTCGGGAAATAAAAGAGTGGATAAACGCCTCCCAAACTTCAGAAGTTCTCTCAGTAGGCTACCGTCGTGAAGCGCAGCTGGAGATCCAGAGACCTGAGCCATTTATATCCGCGTGTGCTCTGACATGTGTTGGATTTGTGTGAAGCTGGATGCTGATGCTGATGCTGATGCTGATGCTGATGCTGAGGACTGTAATGATGGTTGTTGAAGAAGGGTTGGACACCAGGTGTGGGTTTATGGCTCATAATAAGCTGTCAGTAATGGCACATTTTTTCCTGATATATTCCACTACCTCATCGTCTGTCTGTCAGCCAGGTCAATACATATTTTATCCTTTATCTTGTCATTCTTGGCTGGTTCATTGATAAGTTTATGACAGAATACCAGCGTCAAGGCATGTAGGAGAACACCTGCACTCACTTACTACATACAGTATGATTCTGTGTTGAAGATCAAATGTTTAGATTCATTTCATTCATTCAAAAAACCAATTTGTTAAGGCAACAATTAAGTACTTAAAATAAGCACAAAAATTCTGAAATTAATGATTAATATGAACCAATGTTTTATGCTGCACCGTGAAACTATATATAACAGACTGAACATCATCTATCAGCTTCCAAACAGATGATCAAGATGAGTTACGGCACTCAGTACTGTTATGAGTTGACACTTATATCCGAAAGCCTCAAGGGTCCTCAGCTGTGGGGTTATTTGAGATTCCCGTGCTTCAGGACAGGAGATGTATACATTATGGGACTGCTCCACTTTCACTCGTGCAAAGCACATTATGGAAGTGCACTTTTTTCACCTGGGTTATTCCTGCGGTGACAGTACCTCAGTGTCACATGATCCTTCAGAAATCATTCTAATATGCTGATTTTCTGCTCAAACATTTATTATTTTCAATGTTGAAAACAGTTGTACTGCTTAATATTTTCTGGAAACCGTGACCTTTCTTTAATGATTCTTTGTTTAAAAGAACGGCCTTTATTTAACAGCCTTTAACATTATTATAATAAAGACATGTCTTTACTGTCACTCTTGACCAATGCAACCTTGGCTGAAATAAAAAAAAATGCTTTTTGAATTATTATTGAATTTTTGAGTCTATAAGATTATAATTAATACAACACACAGTACATTCTGTATATTAAACAATTTTATTTTATATATTTCATAGTATTTTTTTTACATAGATGGGAAATGGCAAAGACAACACAGATTCTCTCACAGAGGAACTTTAAAACTTTAAAACATGGGAGTCATCCCACATTGAATTTTCAAAATACAAAAAAATGACATTCGCACTTACCACCCACTTCACAAACATACGACAGATCACAACAAATACTTGCAACAGCTGCTAATAATATGTACATCAACACTGTGCTATGTCATTTGAAACACTATAGACTACAGTCAATGAGGGAAAGGAGCACATGCAATATCATTTGATGACACATGCAGCAGTCCGCTAAACCAGTCTCCAAAGCCAGTTGCATTCAGGTAATCTACGCATCCAATGAAATGTACTCTGTTGAAAATCCCTTTTCATAACAAAAAAATATTGAACCCTAAAGATGACATTAATGTTATGAATACAGTTCAAAGACAGAAGCACTTTAGAATATAAAATGCAGCTGTTTGTGATGTTCACACACACATACAGTATATATGATTCTTTAATCAGTTCAGTTTCTTTCATACTTTGGCAGTATTTTTGATCATTTTAATGATTAGTAAGCATTATGACAGTTTGTCAAGAAGCGTAATTGAGCCATAAAAAGCTGCACAGAGATTTTTTTATGGCTTAAGTTTGATTGCCTTTGATCAGAGAAAACTTCTAAAACCGCATAACTTCTGCAGCATGAGAAGATAAAGCCAGAGTTCACATTTCAAATTAGTATTCACCAAGCGCAGCAATTCAGACTCATCTTAAAGGAACAGTTCACCCAAAAATGAAAATTTGCAGAACATGTATTCACCCCCAGGCCATTCAAGATGTAAATGAGTTTGTTTCTTCATCTGAACAGATTTGGCATTAGAGCACTTGCTCGCCAATGTGAAAAAATCCAATCCAAATCCTGTTGTGAGAGGACAACGTGAAATTGACTTTTTTTACACTCAAGGAAAGCATTATTATGGACTCATTTTGGACAGAAGCAACAGTTTGTACATAAAACACCTTGATGGATTTGTTTCAAACAAGCAGCTATTCACTTCACAAGATGTTAATTGATGGACTGGAGTGGTGTGGATTATTGTGATGTTTTATCAGCTGTTTGGGCTCTCATTTGGACGGCACCCATTCACTTGGCGAGCAAGTGATATAATGCAAAATTTCTAAAAATGTGTTCCCATAAAAAATAAACTACAGGCCTGAGTGTGAGTAAATCTTTAGCAAATTTAGGTGAACTATTCCTTTTACAAAACAGTCAAAAAGTAAATTTCCCAACAACCAATGACACATCAACTTACCATGGACTGATATTTGATATTTCATTAACATACATCTTATATTTCACATTATGTACTAATTTTTGATACAACAGGGAACCAGCCTCTGCTTCAGCCACATGTACAAATCAGTGTAACCTCTATACTTTCGCTGTAGTGAAATGTGCCATCGCTAAAAATGTTTACACCATATGGAACGCTTGAAAAATGTCATAGCACGCTGATTTCGGTGAGCACATATGGGCTCGGGGAACAACACACCTCAGCTATGTTTTACAGAAATAATCATCCGCCCTACAGCTGGTTTCCAATCTGATAATGACATGCAACACTACAATCAGTCATTTAACATCTGCTGAAAATATACTTTTTCCAACCAAACTGGACGGGGTGCAATTGAACTCGCAATACCAAATGAGGCCGCATTATCTCTACACGCTAATAACATCATTTATAACCACACCGTAGACGTTTTAAGGTCATGCAATAATTCCACAGATTCGTAAAGGGCAAACAATGAGGAAAGTTGCATTTCACACAGATGTATTTGTTTTCCCTGAAAGTGACTATTAATACTGATAGTGCTTCTGTGGCTCTCAGCCGTTGAGCTTCATATACTATATGTATGAGATGAGCTTCCTTTCTATAACCCCACTCATACGGGACCTTTGATCCACCGCAGTCTCTTAGAACATGACCTCCTCGCAGCTGCCGTAGTCACTCTCCACCATATCTGAGCCAGCATAACTGCGAGACGTCCTTCTAGTAGATCCAGGTCGCTTGGAGCCGTCGCCGTCCGCGTATGAAGGCTGTCCCACGCTCAAACGCACGCTGAGCCTCTTATAGCCGCTGGAGACGTTGTCCAGGCTGCGAGTGTGCTGGGTAGGGTAGTAGCTTATGGCAGTGTACTCATTAGGGCACTGAGAGCTGGGCAGCGGCAGACCATCCGGCCCCAAGAAGTCATCTAAATTCTGATTGCTGTAACAAGGGGGTAATGGAGCGCGGCGGTCGGCGCGGTCCAGCGGGAAAGGGAAGCCTCCGAAGCGAGAGTTCCTGCGCGACTCTGTGGCAGCCGTCGAGTAGGTGCTTTCCACAATGTCAAACTTTGGGAACTCTTGAACCGTGGGTCGGCCGTAGTAGTCAGGATCAGCTGGATACACTGTGAATGAGAGTTATTATTAGAAATCGTTTATTTCTTGCAACTAGGGGTTGCACAAATTAGTTGATTAGTTCTGACAGTAGTAAGTGAGATAGGTCTATGTCCACTAGTTGTACCACATGATTTCAGTTGCACTTGGTCTATACAAGTAGTGATGCACCAATATTAAAATGATATTTTCATGTTATGGCCGATAAACACTATTGTTTGAAAGTTTGGGGTTGGTAAGATTTTTTATGTTTTAAAACATCACGTTTTACCAAGGCATTTATTTGATGAAAAAATGCAGTGAAAACAGTAATATTGTGAAAAAGTATTACTATTTAAAATGTTTGTTTTATCTTATATTTAGACGTTTTTAATATATTTTTAAATATAATTTATTTGTGATGGCAAGGCTGAAATTTCAGCAGCCATTATTCCAGTCTTCAGTGTCACATGACCTTCGGAATTCATTCTGGTGCTCAAGAAACATTTATTATTATTATTATTATTATTATTATCAATAATACAGTTGTGTTGCTTAATATTTTGGTCAATTTTAAAGTGTCCTTGCCAAAGGATACTTTTATTTCTAAAAACAAACAAAAATATTATTGACCCCAAACTTCTGGACAGTATGGTTTTAAATTAATTAATTAAATGTATTAAATTAAATTAATTTTAAAAATGTAAAAAAAAAAAAAAAAAAATTTAAGCTTCAAGTGAATTAAGGAATCACAACCTTATAATGTACAGAATGAGATTTGTGTTATTAAATTTTAAAGATTTACTTTAAGTGAGAGTTAGAAAACAGGGTTAAATCTATAAATAGGGAAAATATACAATTAAACAAAATATGCACCAATATATCTCTAATATTCTGATTCTGAAAATCTCCACTATCATCCAATAATGATATGGGTACCGATAAATTGTGCATCCCTAATGGCAAGAGCAGGAGAATATTCCTCTCACTGGCATGTGACATCAATTTTATTATTAAACCAATATGTCCAAATAAATGAAACTATTAAAGTGCCGC